TGGGAACAACCATTCACACATCACTGTGACTTTTTTCCTGATGTTAGTCATGGAGCATTACCTACCAGGTGTTGCTTGGATGTTTGTAAAAAGGGCAGGCGGCTTTAAAAAATGTCTCTCCACACCACTGCATTCACAAGCCAGCTCACAATGACTCATGGCTGCTTCAGTTTCCTATTGATGCTTTCTTCGCAGTCCACACAGTATCCCCAAATAGCTGAGAGTTAGCAAAACAAAGAAATGAAAGGGCAGCAGAGTTGAGCAGGAGGCTGACCTTTACAAGCATTGGAGAGTGCATGACTAGTAGGAGTTGATACCTTCACCTGTGCTGTAGAAGTGTTATTGTGAAGCAAGGCAAGGCATGAATTTAACCTGGCATTATCCCCTTGGTTCATTGTATATTGGTGAGTTGAGAGAATATGGTGGTCAGTTTACTTACTCATTGAGACAAATTAAATACCTTTTGATGAGGACCTTCCCATATGCAGTTGGCCAACTACTGTATTAGCAGAGTATTTGGCTAGGTTTTAATATGATTTTATAGTGGAAGCTCTTATTTTTAACATCCATTTATGCTCATAGAATCATAGAAACGGTTCTGGCCCAACTTACGTGTCCAAATGCATCTCCCCTTATGAACCATCTAAGACTTTAAGATCGTCTGGGGAGGCCCTGCTCTCGATCCCACCTGCATCACAAATACATTTGGTGGGGACGAGAGACAGGGCCTTCTAAGTGGTGGCTCCTTGGCTATGGAACACCCTTCTTAGGGACATTAGATTGGCCCCCTCCCTTTTAACATTCTGGAAAAAAGTCAAGACTTGGCTGTTTGAGCAAGCGTTTTAAAATGCAGTGTAACAGACATAGGAAAATGGAATGACTGGATGATTAGATTGGACAATGTTTTTAACTAGGAGATGCAAATGATTTCTGTTTTATTGATCTTGATATGGTTTTATATTATACTTGCTGTACCCGGCCACGCATTGCTGTGGCCCATCCAGCCTCTGTTTAAAAACCTCCAAAGAAGGAGCCTCCAAAGCACCCTGGGGCAGAGAGTTCCACTGCTGAACAGCTCTCACAGTTAGGAAGTTCTTCCTAATGTTCAGGTGGAATATCATTTCCTATAGTTTGAAACTATTGTTCCCCATCCTAGTCTTCAGGGCAGCAGAAAGCAAGCTTGTTCCTTCCTCTTTCATGGAGTCTTCCTTAAGAGCATTATGTTTTTATGTTCATCTTGTGTCTATTGTCCATTTTAAGTTCTCTTGAGTTATAAAATTTGTTACAGGTGTCCAGTCCGTTTTTGATATTTTCAGATTCTGGTTTGTACTCATCAATTGAGTTAGTTTGTCCATATTCATAATATCTATGATTTTCATTAGCCATTGTTCCTGTGTTGGAATCTCCTTTCTTCTCCAAAGTCTTGCATAATTTATTCTAATCAAATAATTAAAGAGTCAAAAAAAATTAAAATAATTTTAAATTTAAAAACAATCTTGTTCCCTCATCCATATAACTTCCCCTCACATGGACATCATGTCTCCTCTCAGTCTTTTCTTCTGCAGGCTAAACATGCCCAGCTCTTTAAGCCATTCCTCATAGGGCTTGTTGGACTACAGTTTCCATCAAACCTAGCCAGCAGAGATAATGGTGAAGACCATAGGACATCATCTGGAGAAGCGGAATTTCTCCACATTGGGGTTAATCTTCATGCTAATCTCCTTCTTACTCCACCAACAGGGTGCTTTCACCCCCATTTGCCCTCCTTTTTGAAGGATTTCACCTGATATTTGTTGCAGAACAGAACTGGAATTTCTGAAATTATATTTCAGAGCCCTGACATTTACTTCTGAGTTTGTTCTCCACTGATTCTTCCTCTTCACCCGAGAAGTGGTATATAAAATGGGAAGGGAGCATACAAAAAAGCAGGGAGACTTTGTGACATAAATCCAGTTATTAATCACCATGACAGTCGCATTTGTCACATTTTCTTTTCATTCTGAACGCTGCTTCCAAATACCAAGGCGAGATATGAACCTGAGCAAAAGAAAGCTGGGTATTGAATAAAGGCCTTTTTCTTATTTCCGAAAATATTGGATTGATGGGTCCCAGGAAATCAATACAATACTTTTTTTCTCATTAAAGAGTCTGGCCGGTTTGTTGCTCCAGAGGTGCAAAGAGCACGTTTCAGCACAGAGGGAAAATCCAGTTGCTGGAATTGATATTTTAATTACTTTAAAAGTCTAAATGAAATGTTTAGGCTGATTCTGAAGTTCCGTTAATTTTTCAGAAGGTCCAGTGGGAGATGAAATGGGCCTGAGCTTTTTGTTGTTGTATGCCTTCAATTTTTTCCAGCCTATCATGACCTTTAGGCAAACCTATGAGTGAGCCCTTACTTTTTAAAAAGGCAGCCAACTGTGGCCATGACAATTGCATAATGTTGGTCTGTTTATTTTGCAAGTTTCTTGGGTTCCTGTGATAGCACGCCCAAGCCTTTGGGAAAAACTATAGTGTCTGGCTTTACACAGGGGCTATCTGTATACCTTCTGTTAAGATTGAGACCCTTAATACACAGAGGCACTTTAGGCAAGGTGAAAAGATAACCAAAATGAGTTTACTGAAAACCAGATGGATAAGGGGTCAACTCCACCCGGGACTATTATAAGGCAACTTAAAACAATACATTACATAAAGGAGACTTTGCTGGCTGCAGTAATCTCTCTGGAGTCTTCTGCCTCTGGTGCTTCTTTCTTGTGAAGCTTAAGCTGGTCAAAAGCTTCTGTTGTCTCTGGGACTTCTGGTATAAGAATACTGCTGAATTCAGGTGCTAAGGATGCCTATATTGAATTGCTTGGGCCTAAGATTACTAGACAATACCCAAGCCTCTATTCTCTGTAGCTCTGTTGCAGAAAAAGGAGGAGTTCAGCAAAGGAGCTCCATACAGGCAAATGGAATAGACCAACTAAGGCTGGCCTCTAGGGGTTTTTATGCTCCACCCAAAACTAATACAAAGGAAAGTATCTACACTATTGGGAAAAACTATAAATAGGGGGAACTGAAGCAGAGGAGAGAAAAAGGCAGAGTTAAGACTTCATAGTTCCAGTGTCTATGACATCACACTTGTACAGAATATCTTTCTCTCTTTGTTCTAATAGTCTATATGTTTACAGATCTTGACTTTAGAAAAATAGCACCTTGGTCTTTGCTTTCGTTTTGTTCAGGTTTCCCCCTTAGCCTTGATCAGCTTGAGTGGAACCTAAGTCTTCCATCATTTTGAGTTACATCAAGATGGACCAGTCCACCTGTTCCCATATACCTCATCATTTGCTCTCACAATGTGTCCTGTTGTGTCTGTGATGTCAATTTCAACTTCAAACAATTTGGACCATATCCACAGAGGGTACCACATGAGTTGTGCACTGGAAAGGGAGGCGAGATGGGAAATAATGAGCTCATTCTACCTCTATTCTCACAGGCTTTTAGGAATTGATTACAATGTGCTTTTAATGGTGTACTATCTTGTTGATGTTTATCTTCTGTCTATTAATGGACTCTATACATTTTTAATTGTATAGATTGTTTACTTACATTTTAAAATAGCTTTTGCATACTTTTACTGATTTTGGTATGTATTTAAATCTTTATTGTTTTAATATTTTTGGGGAAAGATGTGATGCAGGTGGACTAAATTTTGTCGATGATATACACAATGAGTCCTTGGTATCTGCTGGAGTTTGGTTCTAAGACACTCTCTTTCCCCCCACACCCCAGATACTAAAACCTGAAGATAGTCAAATTTTTGGGAAAAATTCAAGCTGTAGATTATTGAATCAGGATGCAGAATCCATGGATAGAAAAAGTAAATTGTATAGGTCCCTTTACCAAATTTTGAACATGCCATATGGACAGGGTGGGTTTGTAATGCAATTGATTACAACCATAGTCCCCAAAAATTCTAGAGAAGAATGTTTGCAAAACTCTCTCCATTAAAAATATTTTTGAGGTGGTAGGAGAAGTGAAAATCTTGTGCCTCTTTGGTGGTTCAGACACATATGAATATAGATTTGTATACCAGCATGTCGTATAAAGATAAGCAGAAGTTTAACTGTTTTAACTGTATTTTTAACTGTATTTTTAATTGCACACTGAGCAGCCAGGTAGTAACCAAACCAATTGAACTCCTTTCATATAGAAAGTTTGTAGCTTTCACTGTCAGGTGCACGGGTGGCTTTGCAGCTACAAAAATAGTAACTGCAAAAATATTTTCTCACATAATAGTGCAACTATTATGTGATGAAATACAGTAGTTTGGGGGATTCCGTAGTGCAAAAACCATGCCATCTAGTTTTCTCTCTTTTGTGCCACACTTAATCCTGATTTCCTGTCTTTTCATCTCATCTCTGAACTGAAACTTAACATTAGTATCAGACATCTGTATGCATGTCCACAAATTCAAAGGACTACACCATGCTTTCATGCTCTAAGTCAGGGGTCCTCAAACTTTTTAAACAGAGGGCCAGGTCACAGTCCCTCAAACTGTTGGAGGGCCGGTTTATAATTTGAAAAAACATGAATGAATTCCTATGCACACTGCACATATCTTATTTGTAGTGCAAAAAACACTAAAAACAATACAATAATTAAAATGAAGAACAATTTTAACAAATATAAACTTATTAGTATTTCAATGGGAAGTGTGGGCCTGCTTTTGGCTGACGAGATAGGATTGTTGTTGTTGTTGTGCACTTTCAAGTCGTTTCACACTTAGGTTGACCCTGAGCGAGGGCCGGGTAAATGACCTTGGAGGGTCGGCCCCCGGGCCTTAGTTTGCTCTGTTTCCTCTGCTTCCTTTTGCTTGTGACAAAGGACAGGAGAATGTGTTGAACCTGTGTTTTGCCACCACTTTAGCCAGTAGCCTATTTTTAGAGAACATGGTGAAAGAATCATATGATATATTTTTGTTTGTGTATTTCTTATTTTTGTTTCTTTCTGATTTTCAGGCCGGGAAGATTATCCTAATGTACCGCCAGCAGCCACTGAGCATTTTAAAGAGATTTCTCATCTGGGCTGTTTTGTTGGTGAGTTGTTAAGTCCTGATGCTAGATAATAGAATTAGGAGTGCTGCCAGGCCCTGTTTTCAAAATTAACGTAGTTACTTACAAACTGGGAATAATCTAACAAGAAAGGAAATGATCCAGGGCTCATAGCTATTAAAACACAGCCTCTTGCTATCTTACAAACTGGAGACTGACTGGTAAAACCTCAGTCCTGCTATTTCTTCCATGACAGTGTGTATGTGTAACACAATGTGGATAGACTGATTAGTGGCAGTGTCTCCATGAACCCAAATTGCTTTGATGGAAGACATCAAACTGGCTTTAGAGAAGGATGACATTCTGCCTCTTGCCATTTTCTTTTTGATTGTGTTAGTTATTGTTTTGTAATATTCCATTTATTTTTGCTTGTCTCCTATCCTCACAAGTCTGCAATTATCCTCTGAAAGGCAAAATTCAAAACCCAGTACCTATTGTTTTTCCATTTTCCTCTGTTCATCACAGATCGAATTGTTATTACTAGCCTATTTATCATCATTCTGCTAGCTGGCTTCATCTGAATCAATATTAATTACTGTACATCATGTGTAGTCTGAAAACAAAATATAGTACTGCTTGAATTCCATGTGGTTTTCAGAGAGCAAGAGAAGCTGCTTTGAGAAGATGTGTGCATTTTCAGGGGAGGTATCAAAAAAAAAACTAGAGTATAAACACTTGAAACTAGCCAAGGAAGAAGCTGTGGGAAAGGGATGTGGTATGACGTACCTTGAATAAAACTAGCGGATGGCAACCAGTAATGGCAATAGGGGCAAAATCAGATGTCTCGTCTGTTCAATGGATGGACCATTCATTTGATTCTGAGGACAATTACTATGTATTGTCGAAGGCTTTCAAGGCTGGAATCACTGGGTTGTTGTAGGTTTTTTCGGGCTGTATGGCCATGGTCTAGAGGCATTCCTCCTGACGTTTGCCTGCATCTATGGCAAGCATCCTCAGAGGTAGTGAGGTCTGTTGGAACTAGAAAAGGGTTTATATATCTGTGGAATGACCAGGGTGAGACAAAGGACTCTTGTCTGCTGGAGCTAGGTGTGAATGTTTCAACTGACCACCTTGATTAGCATACAATGGGCTGACTGTGCCTGGAGCAAACTTTTGTTGAGAGGTAATTAGATGTCCCTGCCTGCTTCCTCTCTGTTGTTGTGCTGTTGCAATTTTAGAGTTTTTTAATACTGGTAGCCAGATTTTGTTCATTTTCATGGTTTCCTCCTTTCTGTTGAAATTGTCCACAGGCTTGTGTATTTCAATGGCTTCTCTGTGTAGTCTGACATGGTGGTTGTGAGAGTGGTCCAGCATTTCTGTGTTCTCAAATAAAATGCTGTGTCCAGGTTGGTTCATCAGGTGCTCTGCTATGGCTGATTTCTCTGGTTGAAGTACTCTACAGTGCCTTTCATGTTCCTTGATTTGTGTTTGGGCAATGCTGCTGCGTTTGGTGGTCCCTATGTAGACTTGTCCACAGCTGCATGGTACACGGTAGACTCCTGCAGAAATGAGAGGATCCCTCTTGTCCTTTGCTGAATGTAGCGTTTGACAATTACTATGTTTGCCTGACAAACCGGGGTGCATCTACTCGTGTTGTAGCATTAATGCAGCTTGAGACCACTTGACCTGCCATGGCTCAATGCTACGGAATCCTAACACTTGCAGTTTGGCAAGGCACCAGTGTTCTTTGGCAGAGTTTGAGAAGCAAATAAATGTTGAACACATGAACCATCCTTCCTATCATTCTGCCATAGAAGCTAGGAAATACAGGAAATGAAGCAGGGGCACCAGAGAAGAGACTGGAAAAGTAATTTTTTGAATTACAAGGTTCCCCACACTCAGCATGGCCACTCTTACAGTACTTAACACTGAAAAGTTTTTGGAACCAGTCATTCCAGTTGAGGATTTCTGACAGTTGTAACAGTTGTAGTTATTATTTGCATCATTGTTTTGTTGTTTTTAAACTGCTTGTATTGTTGTTGTTGTTATTGCTTGTTGTTATAGCTTGTATTGTTGTATTTTGGGCTCGGCCTCATGTAAGCCACACCGAGTCCCTTGGGGAGATGGTAGCATGGTATAAATAAAGTGTTATTATATTATTATTATAGTCCAAAAATGTAACAATTTCAAGCTATGGTTTGAATTTAGGACACACCAAAGCAAAAAAGCTGACTGATAAAATTGTGGAGCTGCTTTCAGAATTTGATATATCCATGTCTGAACTGTGATTGTGGGATTTTCCCTCCCTTTCTCCAGAATATTGTCTTTTTATAGGTAAAGTATGTTTATCCTTTTAGATGACATCATAGGGAGGAGGGAGCAAGCTTGTTTTCTGCTGCCCTGGATACTAGGATGTGGAACAATGGTTTCAAACTACAAGAGAGGAGATTCCATCTGAACATTAGGAAGAACTTCCTGACTGTGAGAGCTGTTCAGCAGTGGAACTCTCTGCCCCGGAGTGTGGTGGGGGCTCCTTCTTTGGAGGCTTTTAAATAGAGGCTGGATGGCCATCTGTGGGGGGTGCTTTGAATGCAATTTTCCTGCTACTTGGCAGGGGGTTGGACTGGATGGCCCATGAGGTCTCTTCCAACTCTATGATTCTATGATTCTTTGATAATGTATTCAATCACTTAATTGGAGAAAACAAAACTCTGCTGTCTATATTCAAAGACAGAACAGAAGTATCAATCCAGCAAGGGTAAAGAACAGACAGTGCTTCTCCTGTTCTTTCCCTTTCTATTTGTGGATGCACATACACACACTGGCCTGGCTTAGGGCCCACTATGCATTTTATTTCTTTTTTTTAAAAAAATCCAGTCCCCACCATATTTTATTAAAGCACTTAGCTAGACTGCTCAAAATTTCCCCTTCATGTCCTTTTCCTTCTCTTCACCTTGTGGAAGTTACGCACATCATTTCTTCAGTCTGGTCCAGCTCCAGAGAAATGCCAAGACAAAGATTGGTGCAATCTACAGAGCAGCTGTAGGCATGCCAACTGCATAACATCATCGGCCATGAAACACAGAAACGTCCTTGTAACAAGCGTGTGCAAGGAAGTGATCTGCTTTATTGCTTGTTGTTCAAATGGCAGATATCCTAACTAAGAAACAGCACCCATGGATTTGTTTTGTAAAATGAATGGAAAGGCAGGAAGCAACACAATTTTTGAGAACATGAAAACTGAGTCATAGATTTTTCATGTTCTCAAAAATTGTGTTGCTTCCTGTAATAATATTCATTATTACAGTCAATAACTAGCACAAAAACTGTACCCTTACAAGCAATACTCCTAGGAACAATTTTTATATATCATGGATATCCCTATTTGCCATAAAAGCTATTGTGAATTCATATAACTTTCTCTGATTGTTCTCACCCAAGTGCAAGATCAGGATTTGAACTGGTGTTTCCAGTGACCTAAATTCCAATATCTATGTTAGAGCTCTCCATTGCATTCCACATCTTCCCAGCTTCTGTCCCCAGAAAATAGTTAGGCCTGTGTCTATACTTCTAGTGATTTCTCTGAAAAGCAAAGAAAGAGTTATTTTGGAAAAGAGAAGATTTGACTCTTAGTGAAGTGGTGCATAAGCAGGTCAGACACTAATTGCTCTCAGGGCACCGTCTGATGTGATCTTTGTAAATACTAGACCCCTGCCCAATCCTCTTAATTTCTCTGGGCATCATGATTGCCTCTGCAGCCATAGTAGCAGCTCTAAAACAAAATGGACAAGGAATAAATCTCCATTCAGAGTCCAGCTGACTGAGTAACCATATGAGGATCTGTGTGAGCTTGAATTGGATCATTTGTTGTTCATAAGTGTATAAGGAATGGACCCCCTGTTAAAGGCCAAACAGAAAATGGTCATAAGGCAGATTTATCCACAGCTAACTGATCAAAGAGAAATGCCCAGATCCCTGTCTTTCTGATTAGTTTAGAACCACCTAATTGAAAAGATGACACCAGAACAGACACAATGGTTGTCACTGACCTCTACCATTGATCACAAAAATGTGAGGTTTTCCAAGGACCCGCAGCTACCAGGAGAAGCATGGGGAGTTTCATGAACTACGAATGTTCCGAGTCAAGAATCAGGAATCTCACCAGGGTGAAGGCAAGTGACAAAAGTTGTATTCAATCTGCAGAAGGGAAACAAACAAACAAGATATGTTACTGCTCCATTATCTGTGTGGAGGCCAGAAGGGGGCACTAGACAAAGAAAGATAGTCCATTTTCAGGGAGGAAGGGGAAATAACAATTTCACTGGTTATTTTCCCTCCCAATTTCATAAATGAGGGTTGTTTTCATGACAGCGACACAGGTAAGGGGAATAACAGGAAAACAAGGGGAAATGGTTTTACTCCTTCAACCCCCGCCCCTCTAAAATGGACTATCCATCTCTGTCTAGCACCCCCTTTTGGCCTCCACCCAGATAATGGCCCAGGAAACAAACACTGAGCTCTACAAAAGTTAAGGATTTCCTAAAGCACAGCTCACCTCCTGTTTCCTTTTGAGTCTCTGGACCTCTGCTACTGGCTCCGCCCCCAGTGCTACTGGCTCCGCCCCCAGTGCTACTGGCTCTGCCCCAAAGGACAAGCTGTCCTTAAAATTCAAGTCATCTTCTGCAACTATAGAGAAAGATATCACATTGTCCTCTCTATGTAAGCTTCTAGAGCTCATCTGATCTTCTGGATTCAGGGCTGCATTAATTCCGTTTTCTCGGCCTGATACTACAAGTTTATCTCAAACAATTGCTTCAGGAAGCTGCCATCTGTAATACCCATTCTCCTCTCCTCTGAATGGATGGCTCTCTGACTTGGCTTTAAGTATCTTTGAAATTCTTGAATTTAATTAAGCCACATTCACCACATCCCAAGCTCTTCTGTAGAACTGGCAGTAATCTTCCTGTTACATTTGCCCTTTGTTCATTTGTTCCACATATTCAAATTTGTTCACTTCCCAAAGAACAGTGATAAAGATCTCTGCC